TGCTTCTTGTCAAGTGCCCATCACATCTGGAAAAGAAAACAAGAATGCTTAGAACCTTGTTGAGGAAGATATAATAAAATTAACGTTTGAATGATGAAATGCGTCTACCGTACAGAAAATAATGGGGAAAACAGAACATCGAAAAAAGTATGTATCTAATTTTTTAATGGATGTTACATGTACGGTTACAGAAAAGCTTTTACTTGTTTTGTGGGATGCAGTATGGAAAAATTGGTGTGTCTGAAAGAAAAAAAACTAAATACCACAAACGAATAAGAAATGGGTGAGTCGCATCATTTAGTTATGTGATATAGTTGTGAAGATATTCTTGGAATCTCACGTTTGGTCCAAAACGCGTTTTCTTTGAGGGCTTGACAGAAGGTTCGATGGGTTTCGCCGTACTAGGGAGTTCTTCGAGGACTAACGGATACTCGGTTACCTGTGTATTATTCGGAATCATCAGCTCTAGGCTAATAGGATTGTTTTCTAAGTAAGCCGTTTTCAGACGGTCAGTGCTAACGGTGTCTTCACGGCCGTTTTGTCTAAGACAAAGAACATATCCATACGTTTGATGACTTAAAATGGGCCGTCGTATGACAGTTCCAGAGGGCTACGCACAGAGTCACGACGAACAAATACGTGTGAAGAAGTTTTCAAACAGGGGTGAACAAAGACATCAATGGACTGTGGTCGAAGGGGAGCAGGTTTAACTGAAAGCATTGCGTTTGTAAGCCTGCTGACGTATGAGGCGTGATCTACCGCAGGTGGGAAGCTCGAGGGAGAAACAAACTCACCTGGCAGTCGTAGCGTTGTGCCATATACTAGCTCAGCGGTAGTACAACCAGCATCGGTTTTTAAGGCGTTTCGTATCCCTAGGAGAACCAACGGAAGTGATTCGGTCCAATGGGTGTTGTTTTTAGCTGATAAACCAGCTTTCAACTGTCTGTGTAGACATTCTACCATACCATTAGCTTGAGAATGGTAGACTTTTGTTCGAAAACGCATGCAACCTATGATTTTAGTCAGAGCGAAGAATAAGCCGCCTTCGAATTGCCGTCCACGATCAGCTGTGTGTGGAGGTTTGCCATCCAAAGTTTGCGATCCATCTTTCTACAAAGACGCGTGCGACGGTTTCAGCAGATACATCCTTGGGGGGTACTGCCTCAGGCCATCGTGTGAAACGATCGATGCATGAGATTCTGGAAGGGGTCCAACCAAATCTGTATGGATGTGTTCGAAACGGGCGTCAGGGATAAGAAAGATACCAAGAGAACATTTGGTGTGCCTCACTACCTTGCACTTTTGATAAGCTAAGCACGTGTGTGCCCATTCCTTTACTTCTTTATTAATACCAGGCCAACAAAACCGACTAGTTACGAGCTTGACGGTTGTTCAAATGCCTGGGTGAGGTAAGCCATGCAACGTACTGAAGACGTAATGGCGATAACTCTTAGGCACGATGGGGCGAGGAGTACTAGTGGAAATGTCTCAGAGAATAGTATCCTTTATCATACCTAATGGTTTCTCGGCTAATTGTAGAGTTGTTTTCGACAACTCATGCTGAAGCTCGGTATCTTCTGTTTGAAGACGAGCCAGTTTTACAAGGTCTATGCCGTCGATTTGGGTGAGGGAACAAACGCGCGACAAGGCATCTGCCACAGTATTGTTCACTCAGGATACATGGCGAATATCCAGTGTAAACTGTGAAAAGTAATCCAGTTGTCATGATTCCCTGGGTGAATACTTATCTGAAGTTGAGTTCAGAGAGTACGTCAGAGGTTTGTGGTCGGTGTAAAATATGAATTCACGACCCTCAACTGAATGTCGAAAGTGGCGTATAGCACAGTACATAGCTAGAAGTTGTCTTCCGAATGTGCTGTACTTCGTTTCAGCTAACTGAAGGCGCCTCGAGAAAAATGCGAGTGGTTGCCGCTCTTTATTAACTAGTTGTCGCAGAACTGCGCCGATTAGAGTGTCCGATGCATCAACTGAGATACTAAACAGTGCCGTTGGATCCTGATATATAAGAAGTGTGGCATCCACGATAGCTTTCTTAATCTGAGTGAAAGCATTTCGAGCAGGCGCGTCAAGTTCGATAGACTTGTTGTTCTCTCGAAGAAGATCTGTCAACGGCTGAATCAGATAATCACAGTTGGGAATAAACCGTCGGTAACAACTTTTCAAGCCGTTGAAAGTGCGAAGACTTTTCACTGTATGTGGCTCTGGAAAGTTCAGTATCGCCTCAACCTTAGTAGCCAGTAGGCAGATTGTCTTGCTGTCAATGGTGTGGCCCAGAAAGTCGAGTAAGTCGATGCCTATTTGACACTTTTGAATATTGATGGTAACACCGTGTAGGCGTAACCTTTCAAATGCCAAGTGTCTAAGGTGAGTTTCCTTGTCTGGACTGGCAATGAGGCAGTCGTCTAAGTATGCGTATATAAAGTCGAGACCGCGATGAAGCGTTGGAATGTTCGGGCTGCATTACGGAGACCGAATGGCAAATGTAGAAATTCGAAAAGTCCGGAGGGCGTAATGATAGGCGTTTTCGGAATATCTTCTGTTGCCATCGGGATCTGGTTATACGCCATAACCAAGTCGATTTTAGAGTATATAAATGCACCAGATAATGCTGCCGTCAAGTCGTGTATGTGAGGCAATGGAGAGCATGGCATTCACTCACTGGTAATCACCGGGGGGTCGCCAATCGTTGCTATCTTTTTTCAGTACTATATGCAGTGGGTATGCCCATGGGCTACTCGATGGCTGAACGATGCCAAGGGTGAGCATGTGATCGAATTCATTTCTGGTAGTTCTCAGTTTGTCAGGGGCCAGTCGTCGTGCTTTAGATGTCACGGGCTGTCCTGAGGTTATGATGTGGTGCTGGTTATGCACGGGAGATCGTTAGATGGGCAATTAAGTTCCGGATATCTGTCAATAATAGGTTGGGAAATTGGATCAAGGATTGCTTTCATCTTAGCGAGCAACAAGCTAGGACCTATGTAAGTCTGGCGGTATTGTCTATCAGTCTTTTTCGGCGGACTTCGAGTAAAAATGGCATGCATTTCATGTAAACTTACCCGTTTATACGAAATATATATTATTATTATTAAATCATGATGATTAAGTAGGTCCGTGGAAATGATGGGCATCGTGACGTCAGCGATAAGGAAAATCCATTGGATGGGTTTGCGTAAACCTACGTTCAGATAGACCTATTTCCTACCATAGGTTGCAACTGGTTTTCCATTCGCAGCCTATAAGTCGAAGAGAGGTTCCTTCTGTCGATCTGTTGCTGTAGCAGGAAGGAAGCTGACTTCGGCGCCAGTGTCGACTAAATATCTTGCCTGGCTGATCACATCATCGATGTAAAGTAAGCAGCTAGTGCCACCGGCGACGGTTGCCGCTAACGCGTGCCGGTGGGATAGATTTCCACAGACTTTGAGGCATTGCCGAAGTTACAAGGTTTTCGGCAACATTTCGCTTCCTGGCCATAGGTGTTGTGATATCAGCACCAGTCAGGGTTTTTCAGTGAACGTGACTTGAACTTAGATCGACCACGTGGGGGATTTAGGACGACGGTAGGAGGAATTACTAGGCGTTTGACCTAAGCATCTGCTGGATGGATAACTCTATCACTGCAGTATCCTTACTCGAAGTCTGTTTGGGCACCGAGCAGATTTCAGGAACTGACCGTTTAGTTATTTCTACAATTTTATCAGCGGAAACAGCTAAGTCGTCTATGAGAACACCCTGAAGTGTCACCAGCACATCCTGTACTGATTGTGGCAGTTTGGATAAGACAAAATTCCCTGAACACTCCTTCATCGAACTGACTTTGGCCAATGATCTCTTTCATTCTTGCCAGCATGGTCACGGCTGACTGATTCCCTAACTCGGTGTTACGAAATAATTCATCCAGACGCTGTCGATCCGTGAGAACGTTTCTCCTTAGGAGGGATGCTTTGAGCAACTAGTACGAGTTACTTGCCTCTGGACTCGACATCTGCACAGTTACGCACTTGCTGAATTCCCGCGGTAGGGCGTGAATAACAGTAAGGGACTGTGAACGTTGATCGGTTATCCCATGCTCACAAAAATCAGACTCAGCTATCTGAAACCATGTTTCCGCATTATCAGGTCAATATGGTACGAGCTGAATTGTTTTGGCAGTTGATCGAATAAGAATGACCTTAGGACTAGGATCACTAATGGTGGAATAAATGTAGTTTAAGAGCAGTACAGGAACAAATACAACATGGAACGAACTCACCGGATTTGCCTGCTTACTTAACAAAGATGAAGTTCGCGGTTGGGCTCACCAGTTTAGAGGCTGACGGTATTGACGTTCGCGAGTTGTACGGAGTATACTAACGCAGGATCTTATGCCAACAACTTCTGTAGTATTCGTTCCTCGTATACCAAAGGCAAAGCAAAACAACAGAATTTGATCGTCCAAACTAAGAGATATATTTCAGGACCGAATTGTAAACCGTATTGAGTGCTTAACTAGCTAGTGACCGTTCACGAACGTGACACGACGGAGTACCAAATGGCATGGGTGCTTGGCCGGAAGCCTTCAGCTAAACAAGTCGACTCAAACAGTGACGGTCAGCTTTCGATGTTCAGTGATGAGTGCTGTGGTCAATAATTTTGGGGAATTATTTACCGCTACAGACTGAGTCTCTCTTTATGGTCTTATTGTTAACTGACAAGGTATTTTATCATGAAGGATATAGTTTTTTAAATGACTGCCAACAGCTTTCTTTTTTGCTACCGAATACATTCAAGTAACTTGAGGGGTTTATAAGAGTACTAAATCTAGTGCGAACCATATTCTGTTGTGTACCGCTTATACTGCCAGGCAGCTCTCTTCGAAGTTGCTTAAACAATCACTCACGTAAAAAGTGATTGAGAGCACGCAGCTGATAAAAAGTCTTCTCATGAGTTCTGACTCATTAATTCTCCATATATATTAATATTAGATACCCAAAACAAGCAATGTCATTGCAGAAGTAGCGCGTTGTTTGTGTTTTTCGCTACATGCGCATGGTCTTCGTAGAGCATGGTGGATGAGGTGAGTAAATGTTAACTAGTTTGCATTTCTGTACTTATTAATGTATTGAATAATCAGACTTTATTTCACCTGCTATTTGTGGGCAATGACATACACAGTGTACGCCTGTTTCAAATGACCTAGACTGACAAATGTCACCAAAACACAAGAATGGTTTTATCATTCATTTTAATAAATTTCTGTTCTGTTAAAGGAAAATTCCAGGATGCTTGATTGTAGGGCTGCATATTGGACTACCATGTGGGCCATTTTTGTTGCTTTAGGCTCACTGAGAAACAATTTAGTCCACACAATACATTTAGAAAACAAAATTGATATTGCTTTAAATAAGAATTGTAGGGATTAAATTAGGCCTTTAAAATAACTTAAGTGAAGACATTTACTTTGGGGATTAGTAAAGAGTGTCATATCTTTGATAGTGATATATTTGACATGAACAATAAAGAACTTTCCTAATAATTCACCTTTTGTTAAGAAGTTAACTCAGAAGGCCCTGTTGTCTTCCAGAGTCCTTGAATCTAAAATTAAGGTTTCTACACTCCCGCTCATAAATTAAAAATGAGTCTATTGAGATGGCGGAAGACTATGACTTATATTTTGCACCGTTAGTATGAGTAATTATTTCATCAATATGTCGCTATCAGTCAATACGCTGTCAATGTTTATCTATTAAACATTACATACATTTAGGTTCTCACGCTTCATGTCACATTCAGAGGTGAGGTGGAAATCACTATGCAAATGGTGAGCAGCCGTTGCCTATAACTTATCTGTTGTAGCTCAGTTACACCGAAAAGGGTTTTTCACATATGAAGCAGCAAGACACAATCATTGTATGAGGGCTGATAATATCACCCGATTGCTCAGCACAGAAATAAGTGGAGCGGGGTCCAAACCCTTAAACTCACTGGTCTGAAGTAGAATGCCTAATCTAATGAGCTACATCACCACCTGACTGTTGGCACAATCGTTTATGCTATTGGCCAAAATTTTACAGTCCGAATAATTTACTGCATACAGAAATTTTATTGTATTAAACTGTTAACAGTATTTAACATATAAAGACTAGAGGCGTTGTAGAAGTAAAATAAAGTATGCATCAAGATTTAAGCCACTCGATCAGCTTAACCACTGTTCTTGAGCAACTGTTCAGAATTAAGAAGCAACAAAAGTCACGAAAGTTTCTGGGAGATGATCACATATAATAGTGTTCTGAGATCTGTTTGTAATTCCGATTTTTTTCTCCGGTCTAATTCAAATCCCGATTAGGTCGAAATATCATTAACCCTGTCAAGCATATGCTTGTTTCAGTAATTCAGACTAAAGTATTATTCATACAGTCATCAAACACATTATGTTCGCTGATCTCATCAAGCAAATCTAGGAGAGAAGGTATAATCTGACTTTGTTGTACTTCTTGTAACTCTAGTTGACTGTTGTAGGTCATGTACTGCTGTGGCTGATATAGTTGAACTTCGCCAAATACTCATAAATTCACAGCTGTAGTATGCCTATGTTGTATAGGTTTTTGTTTGTCTTCGAAGAAAACTAATCAATACTGTTCAAAGTAATTTACAGTAGTGCAATTGTTGTATGTGTTGGAAAAGTAATATTTTGTAAGTTGAACATTCTTAATGGTACTGAGGTTATTCTATCCCAAATTATAACACGACTATTTTGTTACTACTGTCAAAAATAGAATCACTGACTGGTTACACTAGAGTTCACATGATGAGTATCAAGAACGTATACTCCTGACTTATGATTTGTTTACGTTTGTTAATTCGTCATGCTTATGTATGATTTGGGATAAACAGGAGTAACGTATTATTTAATTCAATTTGGCCTATTTCGTTGATTGATCGGACCGAACTATTCAGTTTCAGGTTGACATGTCGGCTCCTTGTGAAGATGCTTCGACGATGTCTGGTCATGTATCTTGAAGTCGATTGGTGGATGGTGACTAACAGTGGAATCCAGGACGCGCATTTCGTCCTATTTGGGACTCGTGCTTCAAGTGGTCTAGTGGATAACGCGTTCTAGTAAACGCGTTGGCGTTTAAAACTATAGGTATTGAGTTCGAGCCTCAGTGGGAACACCATCATTCACTGGGGATTGCAGGTGCACCCAGATGACGAGTCGCAAATAGGACGACATGCTCACTCTGAATTCCACTGTTAATCACCACCCACTAATGTACATCAAGGATCAAAGTATGATGGGATTCATCCTTCAGAATGCTCATCCTAAATAAACTTGTCAGAATATACTTTCTTCGCTTTCTTCGTCAGAACTCTGAAAATGTCCCCCAAATTCACCCTTTAGAAATTTAAATAATGACCGTTGCTATCACAATATTAATCTCGTCATGTGAATCAAATACGCATAACGAAACCTTATAGTCATATTTTGAATTAATTCCTCACTAAGAATACGATATCTTCCTATAATCCTGTGGTTCTAACACTCACTAGTTATTCCGTTTTTGCTACTCCTTATGTTCAGTAGTACATGTTTGTCGAAAAACCCTTCGTTTATCTATTGTCGAGACTGATTGGAAAACCAATGTAGAACCTTGTGCATTGTTTCAAGTTGCCACACTTCGGAAATACTGCAGTAAATGATATGTCTAAAAGGAAGTGAATAAAAGTACTGATAAAAAAACTTTCAGAATCTGGATACATCTGTACCACCAAGAACTATTTCGAGGGACCCCTTGAAGAGCCTTCAACCATTACTTCTTCACAAAATAAGAATACTCCTACATGACTTAGAAGTCTGTGACTTCATGAATTGGTGCCATTTTTGGTTTTATCACCTTCAAGTCTTTCGATATAATCTCATTTCATTTGTCATTGTTCATTGAAGGTTATGGTTTAATATGTGGAACGCTTGTACTAGCTAGTTGATATAGATGGCATATCTGAAGTCCCTTTGTAAGATATTGAGGGACTCTGTGTAACACTTTGAAACATTCATGTGGGGGTGCTCGATGTCCAGTGATGACAAGGTGTTCGAAGATCGAGCTGTTGCTATTCTTCTTTTCTCTGGATAACCAAGCTGGGCAGTGTTCCAGAATACGTTTGTGGACTTGACGTTGCGTACAACCGATATACTTTGCTCCACACGAGCAAGTAAATTGATAAATACACATAGAAGTGACCAAAAGCGGTATCTTGTCCTTAGCGTTAGACTGGATTAACTGTCTGCAGGAGAACATGATACGTTGAGTGGCTATTGGAAATGTCTGAAGAAGTTCAGACATTTAGAAAGGCGGTTTCTGAGAATTTCCGCTGCCATGTCACCTCTGAATTCTAGGTTCATGAAGAGAGTCTTCTTAGGAACCATTGCGATGTTTGACACCGGAGGCTTCTTCATGTTTTTGTCAATAAATCTTGGTGGATACCCATTCTCTAGTAGGGTTTTACGTAATAAATTTAATTCTTTCTCTGCTATGTCTTCCGAGCAGATTTTTCTAATCCTTGAACACAATGTGCGTACCATGTTTCTCTTTCGGATTAGGGGGACAAAGCTCTGGAAGTTGATAAACTGTACAGTCCATTTTGGCTTGCGGTATATTGATCTTTGGATCGTACAGTCGTGTCGTCTTGTGAGTAGTACATCAAGGAATGGAAATGCGTTCGATTCTCGTTCTAAGGTGAAACTTATTGATGGATGCGCTGCGTTGACGGTTTTAAGGAGAGAATCTAAATCACAATTTTCATCACATTATAAACGTATCATCTGCATATCTCTTGTATAAGTGCAGTTAGTTTATCAAGGGATTGAGGATGTTTTCAAGACTCGCCATGAAGCAGTCGGTTAGGAGTGGACCGAGAGGAGACCCCATGGCTACCCCATCTTTCTGTACACAGAACTTTTCATTGAATTTGAACTGGATATTGAATGTACATCTGAGAAGTAGTTCCTTCAAATAGTTTATTGGGAGAGGAACTTCTAGGTTGTTGGTTTCAATGTAAGTACAAATGAAGCATATTGTTTCAGTTAGGGAGATACTTGTGAATAGAGAGGCGACATCTGGTGAGATCATTTGTCTTTCAGACACGTTGACATCCTTCACTGAGTCGATGAAGTCAAATGTATCTCTGAGGCTATATTTTGTCATATGTCTTTTAACTGGTTCGAGGATATCAGCTAGCCACTTCGCGATTTGGTGATATGGTGAGTTAACCATGTTTATTACAAGTGGAAGTGAAACATTCTCCTTATGCACTTTAGGCAGTCCATACAGTCTTGGAATGGTTGAACTGCAAGGTTTTATTTGCTCATAAACCTCCGGTGTTATGACTGAATCTTCTTTCATTCTCTTCAGCAATTTTGTAAGTAGGTTTTCAGTTCTTTCGGTGGTCTTTCTGGTTGGGTGATTCGAAGAATTTGGTGTTATCTGATAGTATATTTGTCAATTTCTCATTGTAATCGGATCTATTCATTACTACAATACCATTGCCCTTATCAGGACGGACGAGGATTATATCTTTATTTTCTTGGAGCTGTTTAAGTTGTCGTCTGCTCCTTGGTCAGTAGATAACGATGGCTCGGTCGCGTATGAATGTACTTGTAACAGCATTCGACCGACTCCTAACCTCAATATCGCTCACCTTATATACCACTTAACACGGGAAATAGAATACAGGTACCTATGATTAAAGACAGCTAGCTAGTTAGCCTTTTCATGTCTTCTACTTTCAATGGCCATGTCTCGCAGCCATAAAGGAGGACTCCACTTAATATGAATGGCAATTCGACTCATCGGTATATCTACTCTGCTGTTAGCCAGCGGGTATCAAATCACACTACGTAGTTTGGATTCAATGACTGGGTTGTATCGTCAGCTCGCCTACAATAAGCGTGGAACATAGTCTGGTACATGGACCTTATACGGGCAAGTAACGAGGCTATGAAGTTACATAGATTGAGATGGCTAGGTCACGTGCTGCGCATGCCTAACCATCGCCTCCCCCTCCCGACGGGCATTACTAGCTGATATAGGTGCAGGTTGGAAAAGAGTAAGTGGTAGCCAAACAAAAACATGGCATCAATCCATGAAATCCCTGACAGTTAAACTGAGTCAGGTAGGGAGATGCAGACTTCCGGGTTGGGGCCCGCCCTCGGGACTCTAAGAATCAATGGCTGGAGACAATAGGTGACATGGCTCAAAATCGTTGTCAGTGGCGCAGATGTATTCAGTCTCTTTAAACTTTCATATTCCTTTCTAGCATTACTCATTCTGTTTCACTCTTATACTTATCTAAATTCTATTGATTCTCTTCTCTCCTTTTCCTGTCTACCTTTGTGTGCTATTCGTTACGTGGCAACTCGAACTGCTGCAGTTTGGTGCCGAGTTCTATGTTGAATCCAGCAGCAGCAGCAGCATTATTAGTTTTAGGCATAAAATTAAACCATCCATCCTCACAGTGAGGTCATGCTTATCTTTCTACCGTTCCAATTTTGATGTTTACCAGCGAAGGGAGTAAAATGACTCAGCTTTGATCACGAGCTGACGTTACGTTGAGAACCATTGAGAACCAGATGATAGTATTGTAGAGCTGTTTCTTTCGATTTTAAGATTTCAGGAGTACTCACCCAAGACCCTATAGATATATGAGGCAAGGCTGTTCATCATGCAGCCACCGGAGCAGAACGCTATAGTCCATGAATTCTAAATTCTGACAATTCGCGATATATATAGCGCAACCATCAGGCAGTCATCGGAGAGTATTTGTCATCATACCCTACTTGGCGGACCCGATGGTATCACCAGGACTGTGTCCTGTAGTCAGTTGCTAGTGAGCTTTAGATTAATTTTCAAGTGTTGGCTTGTAGGGATTTGCTTCGATTCCTTGTCGGATCATATCTACGTACTGCTGAAGAATCCCAAACTGGAATGAAACAGTAATCCAGTACTATCTGGTTTAAGATGGTTCTCTAATTGTTTTCAGCTCGTGATAAGAAACTTGAAACCAATCAAATCTCTGCAAATCAACTTAAGTTTCCTATCGGGAAATCTTTTCAATACAAATTCGTGTTTTCGCTTATGCCAAACTTGATTACTCACTTCTTTTAACCAACCAACTTGTATATTCTTATTGTAAGGGAAGTAAATGAAACACGTTTTTAATGAAGATGTGATAAGATGAAGGGATGATAAGAGAGGGGTTAAAAATATAAGTAAGGGGTGGTGTAGAAGTCATTCGTTGGTTATGCCATAATAGGCCAAAGGAGGAATGGCTGAGCGAACTTTTTTTGAATGAGCATAGTTTAGGTTTAATAGTTCGAATACCTATCACCTTAGCTGTGTGCGTGCAGTAGATGAATACAAAGTCTATTCGAAAGATTCGGTGGGATACGACGAATTACTTTGAAAGCTGTGGCTTTCTCCACTTCATAACCACTATCAACTAATTGTGACAAAATTGAGCTACGGATTGTTTTTGTCTGTCCTTTGCCAAACCTCAATGATGGGAGATGTTCAGTAACACGATCTTTGGCTAAGCTGTCTAGTACTACGCCCAACATAACTGTCACTGCAGGTGTAGTTGAATTGATAAATGCACATAGATGTGGCAAAACTATCTAGCTTATCCTTCGTTTGCGTCTCAATCATTTTTCTACTGCACACAGCTGAGGCGATAGACATTCAAACTATTAAACCTAAACTATGCTCATTCAAAAGAAGTTCGTACAGCCATTATCCCTCCCTTATTGGCCTATTAAGACATAACCAACTAATGACTTCTACACCACCCCTTACTTATATTCTTATTGTATTCGTAGATTACACTTTAAGTGTTTTTTGAAAATTTGAAAATTCACCTTTAGTATCTTTATCCTATTTCTGTTGTGGCAGATTAACCGGTCAAAATGATGTTTAGATTTCTTTGCAATGAAATATTCACAATGAAAATATATTTTGTTGTTTTGTTTTATTTTAGGATTCCGATGACTATGAGGCACTGCCGAACACTAGTCCACTTTCACAACACATGCTAGCCGGTGCTTGTGCCGGCATAATGGAGCATATTGTAATGTATCCTGTTGATTGTGTTAAGGTAGGTAGTAACAATACTGATTCTTCTTCAACTTATGTGATTTCTCCACTATACAGACTCGAATGCAGTGTCTCAGACCAATGGGTGGTGGTGCTAATTGCCCTGGCCTACTAACTGGTCTATATCGTCTTATTCTACAAGAAGGAATCCCTGGAACATTAAAAGGCAGTGGTGCAGTGATATGGGGTGCTGGTCCAGCGCATGCTGCTTATTTTGGATGTTATGAAAAAATGAAATCATTCTTAACAACAGTATCTATGGGATCAAGTCATGTAAATCATATGATAGCGGGGACTTGTGCCACTCTACTACACGATGCTGTCATGACTCCTGCAGATGGTAAGTTGGTTATGCACGGAGATTTTGTTTATAGAGCGTGTAAATGTGATCTCAGCGTGTCTTTCTTTGCAGGGTACTAGATAAACTAAATCGTTTTGGTTTAATTGACTCCACAGGATTGATCCTTTAACCGACAAAGCCTGTTTCTAATTGAGTTTGTGTGGGGTTTGAATGTCAGCCACTTTTATTCCTGCCTTGTTAAGAATTCTGCGTGAGGTTTCCGAGGTTCTTTCTTTTTGAATGGAAGTACCACTAATGACTTAAATTCCGTATTGCTGGTGTTGTCATTATCCTGTATGCATGTACACACTAATATTATTGAATACTATCACTATTATTATCACTACCTGTCGCTACTGTTATTATTGATCTTATTTTTACATTTTCCTACATTCTTCCTGATTAATTTGTTAGGGTAATTATTGCGTTTAAAAGCTTCTCTCAAAAGTCTCACTTCCTGTGTTAGATTTTCCTTGGTACTAAAAGCTTCACCAATCCTACTATTTTTACTGACCTAAAATGGGATGATCGGAAATCCAAATATCGGTTTGATGAGTGTGTTTGGGTTTCCTGTAAACACACTAGTGGCCAAATTAGTGTATTTTTGCTGGCCATTATTTCATATATATTGTTGTATTTTCTTCCGGTTTTTATTTTAGAAATTAAACTGGCAAATCGTTTATTCAAGTTTTGGTTTGTAGGGATTTGATTGGTTACAGGATTTCATCATGAGCTGACATTAGTTAGAGAACCATTGGATTGGGTCCTGGGTTCGAACTCCAGTAGGTACGTACTGATGAAGAGTCCCAAATTAGAACGAAACAGCTGTCCAGTATTCTCAGGTTTTCCAATGGTTCTCTAACCAATGTCAGCTCATGAAGAAATCCTGTAAACAAATCGTTTATTGTTTACTTGGCATAATTGTTAAGTCATATCGTTACTATCATCCAATTCCTCAATTGTTCCTTCCAAGCATTTTTAGTAAACCTTAATGTTTTTGATGGTAATATTTTTACTGACTGGTGAAACAAATTGTTCTAGATTTTATTTTGTCTGTAACCCACTGTTCATGCAATTAGAATGAATCGAGATGTAATCACCATCCGATAAATAATCTTATTTTAAATTTGACCATAGATTGATATCATTTAGAGAGAGAACCATTGAAAACTAGCCACAGGGAGTAGTACACAGTTGTTTCGTCAGCCTAGTTTGGGACTACCCATTGGTGGTACACAGCCATCGTGGTTTCGAACCCATGACCTTCCTGTTACAAGGTAAACTCGCAGACCATTCAGCCACTGGGATCCGACTCCAATAGATACTGCATGAATTCTTACTTCTACCATTTCGTGATTTTAACGTGACCATTACCAGTCAGTGTCATTGGCGGGTATGTGTCATTAGCGGAGATATCGTTTGTTGGCTTTGCCGCTTGGTTTTCAGTTTGTGGGTTCTGGAGTGGTGGTTTACAATTCTACTACAAAGGTCTCTTACAACTTGTCAGTCACATTTGGGATATAAATGTGAATGACATGGAACATGAGGTGTGATACTTACTTATCTTATTGATCCAAGTTGCTCTATGCCTTAGGCAACATGATTATCAGATATCGGTGAACATTAATATCTAACATCATTGAGTTTCCTGCTCAGTAACTGGAGGATAACTTGTTCATCACTCAGTAATCTAACAGTCCTGATCTGGATTCTTTAAAGCAGGTCGTAATTGTGTACTACTGAAAAGTCTTTAACTGTGACGATGTAGGTGTTGTGTGTGATTCTTGGGTTTCAATGGTTCTTCTAGTTAAAGTTGATTTATGAAGAAGTTAGGCTTGATATACAACTATGACTACCGAATTTAAATTTATTTATTACCTTTCAAAATATAGACAATCTAGAATATTTGAAGAGAGACAGAACGAACATGTTTGCAGGATAATACGAGCTCGTTTTATTTCGTGGATACTCATCAACTGCATACATCCTAAACAAAATCAAATTATAAGTTTCAAAAAAGTTTTGAAACATACTTTTTTCATAATTAGATAGATAGAAGGTATAAGGAAGATAATTCCAGAATTTGATGTAGGTAGACAGATTATTCAGTGTCAAAAAACGACCAACTATATATAGTGGAATTGGATATGAGGGGTTAGAGTTCAGATTTCTATTGGAAAACACAGATTGGTTAGAGGCATATTACAGGGTCAGGGTCAGAGAACAGAGTGAATTTACACATCTTGTGGTGGAGAGTTTAAGAGGGTGGGGGTGAATAGTGAAGTAACATTTTTAACTTAAACAGACAATTAAGTGGATTTAAAAACTTGATAGTCAGTTCAACTTAGCAAGTGAAAGTCAAAATTGAATAGAATGTTTCGTAACAAGACAAACACACAGGCATACTGACAAAAAGGCAAAACAAAGATAAAATAGAATTAGGGTTACCAGGGTAGTGAAAGATTAATCACACTATCTTTCTGTATACAGAGGTCTGGTCGAAATCTCTTGATAGCAATGGCTTCTGCGAAGCGAAGTAGCCATGGGTTTCTTTGCGTATTGATTATTTTGAAGGCTTGGCTAATTTATACTGTGTGTCCTGTGTCAATTAAATGTCTGACGATTGCACTCGATAACACTTTTCTTCCTTTTGTGCGGAGACTCTTAGGAATGTGCTCAGAAAATCTAGTAGATGCTGTCCTCTCAGTCTTTCTTATGTACTTGCTTCCGCAAGTTCAAATAAATTAGTAAATGCAGTTGGAGTTGACGTGAGCAGGGTACTTATCTACTTTTGACTGAGTTAACGAGCACACAGTGTTGTGAAAGAGGACCATTCTGGCGGCTGGAAACGTTCATTTTAATGCACCTGTGATTCTTTTTTGTGTTCTTGCGGATACGTCTTCCCCTTTGTACGCTAGGCAGATGAAAACTGGTTTCTTTTCAACGGTGTCAGGTTTCGGTTTGTGTGCTTCTTCATTTCTATACTTTAATATGAACTTTCGGGGATATCCATTCTCGATAAGGTTCTTTTCGATGACTGCGAGTTCTTCTTCAATCTTGTCTTCCAAACATATTTCTTCGGCTCTACTGAAGAGCGTTTTTACTAGACCTCGTTTGTAACTGGTTGAGCAAAAGCTGTGATAATTTAAGTATTGACCAGTCCAAGTTTCTTTCCTGTAGACAGATTTTTGAATTGTCCCATCGTTTCTTTTGACATCTAGGAAATAGAACTGGTTGTTTCTTTTGTAGTCAATTGTAAATGCAATGTTGGGATGAGCTGCATTGGGTTTCTCAAACATATATCTACTGTTCAACCACTGATGCAAGTCAGAGATGACTACAATCTAAAAAAGAAAACTTACACATGACAAGCGCTTGAAAACAACCACATTGTTCAAAAGATTAGGGTGATTCAGAATATGTATAAAGTATATTTTAAAGTTAGGAGTTTGAAAGGAAGGAAATATGCCGAAGACAAGTACTGAGTGAATAAAAAGCTACAGTACGAGTTAAAAAAGTGTATTTTATGGTCATGGTTATTGGTTAAGCCGCTTCTACATACACAGTTCAGAGTTTTCTTTGTGTATAGCAAGAGCTTCTGCTGTGGACAGAAGATTTAACCAGAAACCCTTCGAAAGGCTTTACTTTACCTTTACTGATGAAGCCATGTTTTGGTGTGACTACCAAGATGATCGATCCCATGTCAGCTAATATAGACTGTTGTCGAAGAAGGCGATGGCTAGACAGGCATGCGTAACATATGTCCTAGCTATCTCAATCGGTGTAACTTGACAACCTCTTCGGCTGGTTTCCCCTCCTTACCCAACTGTCGACCGACATATTTATATGTATATATATAAACCACACTTATTGCATGAGAGCTGACGATGCAACCCAGTCCTTCAGGCTGTTACCCAGCAGAAGGGAATAACTTCTATGACTTTTACTTGATTAGTATTCGATAAATTCCGTTTATGTATATAAGTTGTCCTCTGTTTTCGTGGGTAAGCATGGATCGATTTTAAATGATAAACAAGAAATGAATTTCCCATTAGCCTGGAATTCTTCTCCCCCTCCCTCCCTCCCGTCTCTGTCTTCCCAATACTTTTACTTTCTTTTTGACTTTTATCTTCAACTACTTTTCAAATGTTATTAGATTCAAGGTTTTCAATGCCTACTTTATTTTACATGCGTTGTTTTTGTTGGTAGAAAGAAAGGCTAAAATTGTCTGTCTGTTTTCGACATAGAACTTTGCACCGATGTGCGGCAGTTCAAGTCGCCACACTCCATGTAGCACACAAAGGAAGAGAAGAAAGTAGGAGAAATGCATAATATAGACAGTAAACAGAGGTGTGAGACAAACGAATAGTAATAACGAAGAACAAAACAGTTTCATTGGAAATCATAAGTCACAAGGAGTGGATGCATCTCCGCTGTCATTGAGAACGATTTTGAGCCATGTCATCAATTGTTTCCAACCATTGGTTTTTACCGTCCCTAGGACCCAAACCAGGAAGTCTACACCTTCCTACGTGACTGGCTGGATTTCATTGGCTGATGAAGCCATGTTTCCGTTTGACCGCCGCTAGCTCTTTTTCAGCCTGACCCTATGTCAGCTAACATTGCCCATTGTCGAGGAAGGGGATGCCTAGACATACGTAACACATGTTCTAACCATCTCAGCTGATGTAATTTCAGGCTTAAATTGTAATGCAGAGAAGTGTTATTTCATTTATTCACTTTCAGGTACTTACAATTTCCAGTGATTATAAATAAAATAAGTAATAACATGATGTCATTATTAAATATTGAAACAGTAACTCAAAAAGACATTTTATACTAGGGGATCTGGAGCATTTTAGTGTTCGAGTTAAAGAATAAATACTCGGAGTAATAAACGCTCCAGTGATCTTTTGCTAAAAAGCGAATTCGGGTAACTAGCGCAACACTAACTGTAGTCTTTTACCTATTAATCCTTAACCTAGTCCTAATCTCTCTCC